TCCTAATCGAGGTTAACTTCAGGGTTCTCACAATCCTTTGCAGACCCAAAAAATATCTGCTGTGCCGCAATTATCCATGGGTGGTGAGAAAAGTAAGGACGTTTGATCGCCTTTTCTTGACGAACTTGGCCGTCATAGTTTTGAGTGAGACAATCCATACTCACTACAACGTCATAAGGCGAAACCTCAGGTCATCGAGGAAATAAGACTGAGGTAGATAGGGCGCATCCTTTATAGTTAGCCTAATGCGTTCAAGGTTATCGGGGCTGCCGCCTAGGCCGATGCGTCGACGACGAGCTCCCTTCTAGAGCAGGTTCGAAAGAGACCGTCAGGAATCGAGCCGCTCATGGACCTTCCGTATTCGGTCTCCTCGACTGAAGAGGGTAAGAATTGGGCTTTCTAGGTTTGCGGTCACACATATTAACATGGTAAGAGGCACAATCTGCGACGACATCAATTTTAGGTTAGATCAGACATAATGACGACTGTAACCGGAACGTGTCTAAATCTATGGGAGTCAACAACAGCTTCGTTTTCCCTGAGCTTACATACCGGTCACAATAATCCTTGATTACGTTCCACATTTTCGTTTCTTTAACCAGTATCTAAAACTTTTGGCTAGGGATGGTGAGATAAGCAAAAATGGTGCCCCTACTTCCTATGTAGAACAACTTAATACATATTACATTTAATGATACAGCCTCCTTGCACGTACAATAGATTTCTTATTTCATGAAACGTTAACGGAAATTCTGAACTGTGTTTTCCTGACTGACTGCAAAAATACATGGTGAAAAAATGCTTACTTAAATAGTATGCATTTCCGTCATTGGTTATATATTGCACTTATCAATTCAAATATATTTTATAGAAAAATCTTCAAATATGTCCATTCTTGTACTTATTTGATAGAAAATTAAGTCTTCAAATTTCATACTTGAAGGAAGGGTATCTTTTAGTTTAAGAAAGGTTTCTAATTAGGGGAATTTTACGACTGTTAAAGGTTAATTAAGAAGACGTCACATCCACCGACTTACTTATGTTTACTATAAAGTATAAAACATGATGCATATCCATTGCAAAAGTTTTTGAGAACTACGTGATCTCCACCTCATACGATAGGGAAATTTGTACTTTTCTTTAGACAGAATGTATACAACACGTCGTATAGAAACCTAGAATCTAAATGTAACGGCTGGTAAGCTTCAAAATTATTGGGCAATTTAGAAACCTTTTTAAAACCAATGAATAATATTTTTCAAATATAAAATTTGAACAAGGCGTAATTTGCTTCCAATGAGGCAAAAGAAAAAAACATTTTTATGTATGTTTTCTATAAAATGTATTTGCTATGAGGATCATCAAGTCAAATGCATGCTACTTAATTAACCACGTTTTGTCACGTATGTTTCTTGCAGGCCGTTAGAAGGAAACTCGGTCAACTGCCGGCATCCTTCATGCGACAGGAATACCTGCAGATTAGGCTGTACGATAATCAGTATAACAACTGTACTCGGGTAATCCGTTCTAATCGAAAACGCATTTCAGAATTTCTGTAGATAGGGAACCCACTGCAGTTTGGTTAGTGCTGTTTTGTAACGTGTTGGCCATATAAGATGCAGTACAGAAAGCTAGAACACACAGCATTAACTTGGTGGTTGTCTTGGGTTAAACTACAAAAGCCTCAATTCCATATCTACCGATAATTCCACGTTTTTTCACTGAAAACTATTAACGTGTTTTTCCGTGGGTTTTGATTAACCCCTCTAGTATTCGCATTTGAGACTAGCATAAGAGATCTGCGACTAACTTTCTGAATGAAATAACTTGACTTAAGGCTTTTTAGTAGTGTGATCATGAAAAACCAAACCCTCTCAAACTAGATACTTACCTTTGTCGAGGGTCACTGCCTCGGGCGTCAGTTGAGTCTTTAAGGATGGGTGCGTTTCGGGCTGTGTGTCGTTGTCTGCTTTGGCCAGACTTGAGACATGCAACTCTGGGATAGGCGAGGTTCCAGAATTCTTCAAAGTGCAATCGACTATAACTTTGCCATCCAATAACTCTTCAGGTGGTTGAACAGCATCCAGCTCTCGTTTCAGCTGCCCAGACGCAGAATCTTTGCCAGTTTCTTCCTTGGTTTCTTCGTCGCTGGCTCGTTTCTCGTGCGTAGGGGACATGTCATCCCAGAACGAACTGTAATCATCTACCTCATCATTAGCATCATTTTCAACGTCATTAGAGTCTTCGTCTTCACTCGTGCTGGAGCTTACACTGCTGGAACTGCTCCAGGTAAATGGCGGGTTATCTGATGTGTCCAAGTCCAATGAGTCCGAATCCGATGAGTCCGAGTCTGATGAGTCCGAATCCGATGAGTCCGAATCTGACGCATCCGAATCCGATCTACTTTGGTCGGAATCTAAAAAAAA